CTTGCACCCTCTTGCAAGCTGCTTCTAGGAAGACCACACTTCTCAAAAGGAGGGTGGTAGAGTCCCACTTGACCACCTGTACTTCTTGTCTCATTCTCTGTCCCTGCACCATTGGCATGACAACAATGAAAGGGTGGCAAGGGAAATGCTGCCAACAGTGCACCATGACTACGGAACAGTAACTTTCGACAGCTGTCACGTGCTGCTCCGATGCTGGGTTGTCCTGAAACTCGGTGACCACCTGCACAACATGGCAAAGGACTGCCACACCGATTTTCAGACCAATCAGAGCTCGGTAGATGAGTCAGCAGCCGAAATGGTGAACTCGGGTGTTACCAAAAAAGAGTAACACACACTTCCGGGATGCCATAAGTCTTGAAACTAAAAATGTTGCAATGCCTTGTAAACTGCTTCAAAAACTCTGAAACTTTGAGGATTTGAAGAACACATGTTGGAGCACCACCCCACAAAATTCCAGAAGCTGAGCAGGCTTGTAGGCTGAATGGGAGTGCGATGACCGTGCCACTATAGTACTTTGGCACAACACAGTGCGGGCGGAGAGCTTGTCCGCGGTGGTATCACGGACAAAGGCACGAGCACCCCAGACCCGGAAACGGGACGCATCGCCAACCTTCCCCGTCCACAGCAGTGTGGGCGAGGTCTCCGGCAAGGAGACACGGGGCCAGAGGTTTAGCTGATGCGCGGCGTACCGGACCGCAAACGGCCACAGAAAATGGGGGGCAGCCGCATGGATCATGGAGGTACGAGCGACCTCCATGACTAAGCCAATGCGACGTTCAGCAACCCCATTCTGCTGCGGAGAGGCCGGAAGCGTGAACGTCTGGCGGATGCCGTGCTCCGCACAGAAGGCTGCCAAGAGGTCGGAGGAAAACTCCCCACCTCTGTCAGAGTGCAGACGCAGGACGGGAAACTCCGTCCCGAACCGCTCGCGGAGCTGGAGACGAGCAGCGCGGATCCAAGGGATCAAAACATCAGGGACCTCACCCTTGGTGCGCAAGGGGAAGACCGTGGTGTAACGCGTGTAGTCGTCGACGACCAGCAGGAAGTACCGCTCGTGGCCCTGTCCATGGACGCGGGCTGGGCCCCACACGTCCAGGTGGAGAGTCTGCAGGGGAGCCTCTATGGGAGGGAACGAGGAGGAGTGAGGAGCGGCGCGCTGCCGTCCCTCGACACAGGGAAGACAGGGAGGAGCAGGCGAGGGTGGGAGGGGAGGCGGCTGCTTCAGGGGCCAGGGGCGGCTGCTCGGGGTCCAGGGGCGGCTGCTCCAGGGGCGGCTGCTGCAGGGGCCAGGGGCGGCTGCACGGAGTCCAGGGGCGGCTGCACCAGGGGCGGCTGCTTCAGGGGCCAGGGGCGGCTGCTCTGGGTCCAGGGGCGGCTGCACCGGGGGCGGCTGCTTCAGGGGCCAGGGGTGGCTGCTCTGGGTCCAGGGGCGGCTGCACCAGGGGCGGCTGCTTCAGGGGCCAGGGGCGGCTGCTCGGGGTCCAGGGGCGGCTGCTCCAGGGGCGGCTGCTGTAGGGGCCAGGGGCGGCTGCACGGAGTCCAGGGGCGGCTGCTCTAGGGGCGGCTGCTGCAGGGGCCAGGGGCGGCTGCACCAGGGGCGGCGTAGCTGGTGCAGCGCTCAGGTCCCACAGGCGCCGTGACTGGCGACGGGGGGCAGCGCGCAGGCCAGGCGGGGCCGCGTCGGCGGCAGGGTGGGGCCGTAGCAAGCAGCGCGAGGGCTGCGAAGCGACGCGCGGGGCAGGAGAAGGCAGCGCGGGGGCTGCGGGGCGGTGCGCGGGCCTGACAGGGCAGCTAGCGGGCTGCGCGCGGGGCTGACGAGGCAGCAGACGGGCTGCTAGCGGGCTGTACGAGGGCCAGCAGAGGCGAGCGCGAGGGCTGCGCGACGATAAACAGTGTAGGCAAGGGGCGGGGTAACTCGGTAACCGGCGGAAAACGGTTGGTGGGCCCTGAAAAAACAGTCCTAAAACGGTCCTAGGGACTTATGTTGCTCTTAATACCATGTCGAGAGTAAAGGGGAAAAGTCGTGTTGACTATCGAGAGAGTTGGTACAAAATAAAACCTAAGGGGTTGTACCCCACAGTGAGTACCCCACTAAAGCCTACCTAAACTATAACATATAAACATATGTTTGACAGTTACCCGAGTCGTTACTGTATCGAACCGCAACAGCAAAAACAGTTAAAGTAAAACCTTTCATATTCCTTGTAATCATATAAAGCTTTGTATCTCTCTGCTATTATCAACTTGTTCTCACACACCAGTGCAAGGTGGTTCAGTAAACTCTGTTATTACGCTTCCGCAAAATTATAATTTTTAAACACATTGATGTTTTTCAAAATTGTGTATTGTGAAAGCGAAGCTGCCTGTACCGAATATTTGGCAGCGTCGAAGCGCGCTAAACGCCCTTCTCCAGCTACAAAAACCGTGGGTTGGAGTTCATTCCCTCCACCCACGTTTCTCGTTTTCCAACGGCTCAATCAACATCCCCACCACCCACCCCGGACCAACTACAAGACCACAGCTGCTTGGACGGACGACTCCATAGCTAGTAATATTTGCATGTACTAGCATGTGTTTAAGAACGATGCATATGTTGTAATAAGCCAGTTGCAATGAGAACGATGCCAAATTATAAGGACAAGAAAGCAAGCTTTCTCAATCTACCGTACAACATTCCTACTACAAATGTCTTAGCCTTGAAAAGATCCTAAGGGCTTTTCTCAGCCCAACACAAATTTCACATTATCAGGGAAACGAACTACAAATTCGATTTCCCACACTCTGATCTCACTTTTTGCGCGTCTAGTCAGCATGTGCTGTCATTCTGTCAGTTTGAGTTGGCTTGGCAGGGAATCACTCCCTGCCAAGCTGCGCGAGAACCAGATTCGCAACCCTATACGTTTTCGACTCGATTACAATCGGCAGAACGAGATATACAGTTTGGTGTAAAACAAATAGAAATTATTGTTGCCATTTTATAAACGCCGGCGCTTATAAAATTCCTCAATTACCGTATAAGCGTACCTCCTAAAAAACAGTGTTTTTTTTTACCCCCAGGGGCGCTTCTATCCGGGGGCTGACAGTACCGTATTTCATTCACTCCACAATCAATGCGCGCGGTTACCATCATGGTCATCATCGTCGTCATAATCATGCCGACGCGGGTTGAGCGGCCGCGTGTCATCGTCATCCTCCTCTTCCTCCCCCTCATCAAACACATCATACTCCTCTTCCTCCTGCCCCACACTATCGGGTACACTTAACAATCAATGATGGCGATTACCATCATTATCATCATCGTCGTCATCATCGTTCCTGCGTGGATTAAGCGGCCGCGTGTCATCGTCATCCTCCTCCTCTTCCTCCCCCTCATCAAACACATCATACTCATCTTCTTCCTCCTCATCCCCCATATCATCATCATCCTCGTCATCATCTTCGGATTTCAACGGGCCGGCACGAGCAGGGCCGGCGATGACAAAGCTCTTCATGGTTTCGAGGGAGTAGAGGCGGGGGGTGGGAGCGCCCTGCTCCACCCACGCCTCGTATTTGGACTTCTGCGCTTGCCCGTAGTACAGCACTGCAAACACCACCGTCAGTATCGACATCACCGCGCCCACTGCAAGTTGTTGGGGGAGGGATGGGGGGAGAAGGAGGGCAGCACTGTAAATCTCAGGGTCAGCATTGGAATCAGTGCATCCACTGCAGGGGGATGGAGGATGGGGGATGGGGGAGGGGGGATGGGGGATGGGGGAGGGGCGATGGGGGATGGGGAAGGTGCTGGTGGGTTCGAGGGAGTAGAGGCGGGGGGTGGGAGAGCCCTGCTCCACCCACGCCTCGTACTTGGACTTCTGCGCTTGCCCGTAGTACAGCACTGCAAACACCACCGTCAGTATCGACATCACCGCGCCCACTGCAAGCGGGATGAGAAGAGGGGGGGTGGTTTGGTGTTTGGGTGGGGGGGAGGAGGAACAGCGGGAGGACTTCTGCGCTTGCCCATAGTACAGCACTGCGAACACCACAGCCAGTATTGTTGAGGCGAGGGAGGAGGGGTGCAGGGGGGGGAGGGGGTTGTGGAGGATCGGTTAGGGAGAAGACAGGGGGGAAGGCTTCTGCGCTTGCCCGTATTAGGGCACTGGGGATACCACCGTCAGCACCAACACCATGCCTCTCAAAACACACAGCACGTACCAATGTAAGTGGATGTCTTGAGCTGGTAGCACGTGCGGAGCTGGTAGTCTTAGTTGGCGACTCCTCAGCACTGGAAATCACTCCTCAGCACTGGAAATCACTCCTCAGCACTGGAAATCACTCCTCAGCACTGGAAATCACTCCTCAGGACTGGAAATCACTCCTCAGCACTGGAAATCACTCCTCAGCACTGGAAATCACTCCTCAGCACTGGAAATCACTCCTCAGCACTGGAAATCACTCCTCAGCATTGGAAATCACTCCTCAGCACTGGAAATCACTCCTCAGCACTGGAAATCACTCCTCAGCATTGGAAATCACTCCTCAGCACTGGAAATCACTCCTCAGCACTGGAAATCACTCCTCAGCACTGGAAATCACTCCTCAGCACTGGAAATCACTCCTCAGGACTGGAAATCACTCCTCAGCACTGGAAATCACTCCTCAGCACTGGAAATCACTCCTCAGCACTGGAAATCACTCCTCAGCACTGGAAATCACTCCTCAGCATTGGAAATCACTCCTCAGCACTGGAAATCACTCCTCAGCACTGGAAATCACTCCTCAGCATTGGAAATCACTCCTCAGCACTGGAAATCACTCCTCAGCACTGGAAATCACTCCTCAGCACTGGAAATCACTCCTCAGCACTGGAAATCACTCCTCAGCACTGGAAATCACTCCTCAGCACTGGAAATCACTCCTCAGCACTGGAAATCGATCCTCACCTTTATGAGTTTACTCGGAAGTGCGCTCTTAGCACAGAGCACTCAAGAAACAACACGCACCGATATAGGTGGACGTCTTGAGCTGGTAGCACGTGCGCAGCTGGTAGTCGTACTGATAGTTGGTCACCGACTTGTGATAGTTGTTGAGAGATCCGCCTGACATGAGGCAGACCTCCGCTAGGAAGAATGCCACCCTGCAGGCGGAGAGAGATATGTGGATGGAAAGGGAGAAGGAAGGATTGGAAGAGAGGGGGTTAAGACCGCCTTGTGGTAGTTGTTGGGAGAGTTTCCTGACGACATGAGTCACACCTCCGCTAGGAAGAATGCCACCCTGGAAGCGAGAGAGAGGGGATTGAAAGAGAGGGGGTTGAGAGAGAGATTCGTTGTTCCAAACCCATCCAGCGCCGGAGTCGAGACACATCTCGACTTGGAAGAAAGCAACCCTGGAGGCGAAGAGAAAGCGGTGGAGGAGGGTCAGGTCAGGTTACAGAATGAAAGATTGGGGTAGGGTAGGGTAGAGGTGATAGACTTGTGGTATACGTTTGTTGAGAGCGAGCCTGCGACATATGATATGGCACACTTCCGACAGGAAGAACACAACTGTGGAGGAAATGAGAGAGAGAGAGAGAGAGAGAGAGAGAGAGAGAGAGAGAGAGAGAGAGAGAGAGAGAGGTGGAGGGGGTTGGAAGAGAGGGAGTTGAGAGAGAGTGAGAGTTGTGATTATTGCGGAGCAAGCCACCTGACATACGATACGACAGACCTCTGACATGACGAATTCAATCTTTGGAAGCAGGGGTGGGGGGAAGTGCAGCACAGTGGCATGGCGATGTGACTTAGTCGTTAGAGAGAGGCTAGTTGCTGCTCTCATCATGCGAGCGTGTAGCTCCACTCATTCTTCTCACCATGCGAGCGTGTAGCTCCACTCATTCTTCTCACCATGCGAGCGTGTAGCTCCACTCATTCTTCTCACCATGCAAGCGTGTAGCTCCACTCATTCTTCTCACCATGCGAGCGTGTAGCTCCACTCATTCTTCTCACCATGCGAGCGTGTAGCTCCACTCATTCTTCTCACCATGCGAGCGTCTAGCTCCACTCATTCTTCTCACCATGCGAGCGTGTAGCTCCACTCATTCTTCTCACCATGCGAGCGTGTAGCTCCACTCATTCTTCTCACCATGCGAGCGTGTAGCTCCACTCATTCTTCTCACCATGCGAGCGTGTAGCTCCACTCATTCTTCTCACCATGCGAGCGTGTAGCTCCACTCATTCTTCTCACCATGCGAGCGTGTAGCTCCACTCATTCTTCTCACCATGCGAGCGTGTAGCTCCACTCATTCTTCTCACCATGCAAGCGTGTAGCTCCACTCATTCTTCTCACCATGCGAGCGTGTAGCGAGCGTGTAGCTCCACTCATTCTTCTCACCATGCGAGCGTGTAGCTCCACTCATTCTTCTCACCATGCGAGCGTGTAGCTCCACTCATTCTTCTCACCATGCGAGCGTGTAGCTCCACTCATTCTTCTCACCATGCGAGCGTCTAGCTCCACTCATTCTTCTCACCATGCGAGTGTGTAGCTCCACTCATTCTTCTCACCATGCCAGCGTGTAGCTCCACTCATTCTTCTCACCATGCGAGCGTGTAGCTCCACTCATTCTTCTCACCATGCGAGCGTGTAGCTCCACTCATTCTTCTCACCATGCGAGCGTGTAGCTCCACTCATTCTTCTCACCATGCGAGCGTGTAGCTCCACTCATTCTTCTCACCATGCGAGTGTGTAGCTCCACTCATTCTTCTCACCATGCGAGCGTGTAGCTCCACTCATTCTTCTCACCATGCGAGCGTGTAGCTCCACTCATTCTTCTCACCATGCGAGCGTGTAGCTCCACTCATTCTTCTCACCATGCGAGCGTGTAGCTCCACTCATTCTTCTCACCATGCGAGCGTGTAGCTCCAGTCATTCTTCTCACCATGCGAGCGTGTAGCTCCATTCATTCTTCTCACCATGCGAGCGTGTAGCTCCATTCATTCTTCTCACCATGCGAGCGTGTAGCTCCACTCATTCTTCTCACCATGCGAGCGTGTAGCTCCACTACGTGGAGAAAGACGCGTCCTGCGTCTAGGACGCTTGCGTCCAGACGCAGCGTCTTAGACGCAGGACGCTAGAGGAGGGCCTTTAGGACGCATGAAAAGACGCATGCCCGGGCAGGGCAAAAAAAACCCCCGGGCAGCCGAAAAATGATGTCCTATGTATGGGAAGAGGGGGGGGGGGGGGGGGGGGGGACGACGATGCACACATTTGAGGCAAAAACGTCCCCTTCGTATTTTCAGGGTTTAGGGTTTACGAAGGAGAATTGTCTTGGTAAACCCTCTAGGGTGTTTTTGATGGTCGAAATGGGTTAGGGGGGCGACATGACGCGAAATTGACAGTCGCGTCGAAACCCTCGAAGTCAATTTCGCGCTGAGGCAATTTTTTTTTACTGGTCAGCCCGAAAAAAAATCAGGGTGCGTCTTGCGTGTGGACGCGCGTCCTGCGTCTCTGCGTCTAGACGCTGCGTCCAGATGCAGGACGCAGCAGGACGCGTGCGTCTTTCTCCACTTAGTAGCTCCACTCATTCTTCTCACCATGCGAGCGTGTAGCTCCACTCATTCTTCTCACCATGCGAGCGTGTAGCTCCACTCATTCTTCTCACCATGCGAGCGTGTAGCTCCACTCATTCTTCTCACCATGCCAGCGTGTAGCTCCACTCATTCTTCTCACCATGCGAGCGTGTAGCTCCACTCATTCTTCTCACCATGCGAGCGTGTAGCTCCACTCATTCTTCTCACCATGCGAGCGTGTAGCTCCACTCATTCTTCTCACCATGCGAGCGTGTAGCTCCACTCATTCTTCTCACCATGCGAGCATGTAGCTCCACTCATTCTTCTCACCATGCGAGCGTGTAGCTCCACTCATTCTTCTCACCATGCGAGCATGTAGCTCCACTCATTCTTCTCACCATGCGAGCGTGTAGCTCCACTCATTCTTCTCACCATGCGAGCGTGTAGCTCCACTCATTCTTCTCACCATGCGAGCGTGTAGCTCCACTCATTCTTCTCACCATGCGAGCGTGTAGCTCCACTCATTCTTCTCACCATGCGAGCGTGTAGCTCCACTCATTCTTCTCACCATGCGAGCGTGTAGCTCCACTCATTCTTCTCACCATGCGAGCGTGTAGCTCCACTCATTCTTCTCACCATGCGAGCGTGTAGCTCCACTCATTCTTCTCACCATGCGAGCGTGTAGCTCCACTCATTCTTCTCACCATGCGAGCGTGTAGCTCCACTCATTCTTCTCACCATGCGAGCGTGTAGCTCCACTCATTCTTCTCACCATGCGAGCGTGTAGCTCCACTCATTCTTCTCACCATGCGAGCGTGTAGCTCCACTCATTCTTCTCACCATGCGAGCGTGTAGCTCCACTCATTCTTCTCACCATGCGAGTGTGTAGCTCCACTCATTCTTCTCACCATGCGAGCGTGTAGCTCCACTCATTCTTCTCACCACGCGAGCGTGCTCTCATCATACATGATACAAGTGTGTGTCTTGTTTGCTCTCACCATGTGAGTGTGTAACACACGATGCTGACTTTAAGTGCCTGCCTGTGGGCACACTGGATGGTCACACAGCACACGCAGCCCCCCAGCATGCAGGAGATGGTTGGCTGGCAGGCTTGCTTGCTCTCACTGCTCTCACCATGCATGCACGAGTGCTCTGACTAGCCACGCAAGGCCGTAGCCTTATTTATTCTCACGATGCGAGTGTATAGCAGACGATGCTGACTTTGAGGGCCTGCCCGTGTGCGTACTGGATGGTCACACAGCACACGCAGCCGTCCAGCACGGAGGGGATGGTTGGCATGCGGACCTGCTTTCACGCTTGCTCTCTCTCACCACACAATAGCGTAGCACTACTGTGCCTTACCATGCGAGCGTGTAACACACGATGCTGACTTTGAGTGCCTGCCCGTGGGCATACTGGATGGTCACACAGCACACACAGCCGCCCAGCATGGAGGGAGGGTTGTTTGGCTGGCAGGCTTGCGTGCTCTCACTGCTCTCACCGTACAAGCGTGTAGTGTTGTTTTCACTCACCATGCAAGTGTGTAGCAGACAATGCTGACTTTGAGTGCCTGCCCGTGGGCATACTGGATGGTCACACAGCACACACAGCCGCCCAGCATGGAGGGAGGGTTGTTTGGCTGGCAGGCTTGCGTGCTCTCACTGCTCTCACCGTACAAGCGTGTAGTGTTGTTTTCACTCACCATGCAAGTGTGTAGCAGACAATGCTGACTTTGAGTGCCTGCCCGTGGGCATACTGGATGGTCACACAGCACACACAGCCGCCCAGCACGGAGGGAGGGTTGTTTGGCTGGCAGGCTTGCGTGCTCTCACTGGTCTCACCGTACAAGCGTGTAGTGTTGTTTTGACTCACCATGCAAGTGTGTAGCAGACAATGCTGACTTTGAGTGCCTGCCCGTGGGCATACTGGATGGTCACACAGCACACACAGCCGCCCAGCACGGAGGGAGGGTTGTTTGGCTGGCAGGCTTGCGTGCTCTCACTGCTCTCACCGTACAAGCGTGTAGTGTTGTTTTCTAAGTTGGAATAAACGCGTTTAGCGTTTTGTACGCTCTCGTATATACGCGAGAGTATATACGCTAGACGCTGGCCATGAGGGGTCTGGTACGCACAAGAATACGCTTGCCCGGGCAGGGAAAAAAACTTTTTCCCGGGCAGATTTTTGGGGTAAGAGGTGGGGACGGGGGGGTGATGTAACCCCCATCCCCTTTTTATTAATATGAAAGTTACAGAAAAAAAAACCGTAAAACTAATTTACCACTACATCTTCCTCCACCACATTCATGCTACCACCCCTCCCCCCCTACTCTACATGTCCATCCTTAATCCCCCTCCTGCCGCTCATACATGGAGCCTTCCGCTAGTACTCATCGGCCATCACATCATCCTCCCCCACCTCAGGTTCTTCCACCTCCTCCTCGACGTTGTAGCCAGCCGGAGTGGGGGGGTCGTCGATGTTTCCCTTCACCACCTGCTGCCCTTCAGGGACCTTGTGCCAGTTATGCACAACCTGCCAATTGTGCGTCACACACACGAGGTCCCGAAGCTTCTCCGCGCCGAGCCGGAATAGAGATCGCCACGTCGCGAGCTTCAGTTCAGATTGAATATTTTTTTTTCAGTCTGCCCGAAATTCCACTCGGCGAATTTTCAAATTATACGCAGCGTACGAATTCGTTAAGCGTATAAACGCAAAACGCAAAAGCAAAGTAGCGTATATTCCAACTTAGGTTGTTTTCACTCACCATGCAAGTGTGTAGCAGACAATGCTGACTTTGAGTGCCTGCCCGTGGGCGCACTGGATGGTCACACAGCACACGCAGCCGCCCAGCACGCAGGAGATGGCTGGCTGGCAGGCTTGCTTGCTCTCACTGCTCTCACCATGCATGCACCAGTGCTCTGACCAGCCACGCAAGGTTGTAGCCTTATTGTTTCTCACCATGCGAGTGTGTAACACACGATGCTGACTTTGAGGGCCTGTCCGTGGGCGTATTGGATGGTCACACAGCACACGCATCCGCCCAGCACCGAGATGAGCGCCATGCCCGCCGCCAGCAGCATGCCTCCTATGATTCCAAACAGGGTCGCGGTGCTCGACTGGTAACCGCATTCCAGCACTTGGCTCACGTTCGCCTCTGGCGGCACTGTGTACGTCTGCACGGGGGAGGAGGTGTGGGGGGGGAGGGAGGGAGGGAAGGGAAGAGAGTTTGGTGTGGGGAAGGTGGACGGTGTGGAAGCAGAGGGTTTTGACTGGTAACCGCATTGTAACACTTCAGTCACGTTCGCCTCTGGCGACACTGTGTATGCCTGCATTGCAAAGGAGGAAGCGGGGCGTGCCGCGTGCGGAGGCGGGTCGGGTGGCCATTGGGGGAAGAGTGTTGTTGCAGCGGATGAAGGGGAGGAGGGGGATGGGGGAAGGGACGGGTGTGGGAGGAGAAGGCGAGGGGAGGGAGTGGAGGGAAAATATAAAAAGCGCTTAACAAGGGTCCAGTGGAGGACAGACGAGAGGGGAGACGTCTCAAAAGGGAAGGGGAGATTGGGGGAAGGCGGGGGGAGGGATGGGGGGAACGAAGGCGCTTTAACAACGGGTCCAGTGGAGGACAGACGAAGGGGAGGGAGAAGTGACGAACGGCATCCAGCTGGTGCATCAAAAGGTGTTGTGCTTGAACAGTAACTTGGTAACCCGCATTGTAACGCGCTACTCGATAAGGTCAGTCCTGCTGTTGAGTGAAAAAAGGAGGTCACGCTTGAAGCGAAAGTTGGTAACCTTTGGGAACCACATGCTTCTGCTCACGCTCACTTTGGGAGGTACTGGCAATGGTTGCATTGGCAGGAAGGAAGGGGGAATAGAGAAGCTAGTGTTACCAGGACCTTAGAATCAACGCGCGACGCTCTCACGAGCTTTTAAGCTGCATCGGAATCTCAATAACGAGAATGCCGTGAACTGGAAGGTGCTAGGGACGAATGTGAAGCGTAATGTGCAGACTCGCACCAACAAATGATACCGAGACGGTATTACCGGCAAACCGGAACGCCATTCTGACCTAATGCAAATGCAACGTGACATGGGCTTTTGAGACGTCTCAAAACAGATTATTATCACGTGGCTTTTGAGACGTCAAAAAAATCGGACTCGCACCAACATTGATACCGACAAAGCGGAACGCCATTTTGACCTAATGCGAATGGAAAGTTATAACGGCTTCTAGAAAGCTCCAATGAAGACGAATCGTCCACGTGGACTGAGCATGAAACGAAATGTTTGTCGCGCTAACATAGCTACCAGCAGACCACAAGACAGCAGACCACAAGACTATTGTGACCTAATACAAACGCAAGGGGGCAATCGGCGGCGTCCCTAAAATGCTTTGCAGACCAAGTGTTTTGCAGTCGATGAAAAAAGGGCTTGTCTGATTGGTTTACAAATTTGGGGCCAAAGTTTTGTCCAATCGAGACTCGCCAAAGAACCAACTTTTCGCCCAAGTGTTTTGCAGTTGCAAGTCAAAACCGTACATGAGACCCTGGCTTTAACAGAGAGCCATAGGTTGTACACGCGAAACGAATTTGCGTCGCACTGACGGAGAGGAAGGCTATCTCGACCTAATACCGACGCAACGGCATTATTCAAGCAAAACGCGCGCGCCTCGTGCTAGCGGTTTTCAGAGAGAAAAAAATGTCGTTTTTCCCTCGCCAATACGCGACGACATTAGGGTGATGGAATGTCGCCTAAAAGCGTAGAGCGGAGGTCCATAGCGAGGATACCGAAGCCGCATCGGCCGCATTTGCGAGCTGTTACGATAACGAGCGGTAATGAGCGGTTATCGACGGACAGCTAGGGTGACGACGAAGATGGTCATCATCGGACGGCTTCAGTTCTCCTGCTGCGTGTTCTTCACAGAAGAGGAGAGCAGAATTGCGAGGAGACCAAGGCCGCATTAGCTGCTACGATAATGAGCGGTAATGAACGGTTACCGGCGGTTACCGATGGACATCAACGGACGGCGCGCTGCGTGTTACTCACAGACGAGGGGAGCAGCATTTCGAGGAGCCCAGGCCGCATTTACGAGATGCTACAATAATGAGCGGTACTGAGCGGTTAACGACGGCGCGCTGCGTGTGACTCACAGAAGAGGGGAGCAGCATGGCGAGGAGGCCCAGCGTGCATGCACCAGCGCCCAGCGCTAGCGTCGCAAGCACGACGAATATGGACGCCTTCGGGCCGACCTGGATCTCATCGGGATCGATCGCCATCGCGCCGCGACTTACTCGTCACCGCGCGCACACTGGCGTCCGAACGACCCTATAAATATCGAAGTCGTTTCAAGGTGTGACACGCTAGTTAATCATAGACGCTAGGTTCAAATAGTCTAGAGCCCTAGCGCTAGGAACGCTTAGTGTGAGTGGGCGGCAAAAAACTGACCGCTGGTTGTTGTGAGCTTGTGATGTGCGTGCTTCAGACAAACCCGAGGTCCTTGGATTGCGGGTGAGCGCCACAATCGCAAGTGGGAAATTCAAGGGAATACATGGAGTGATGGTTGTGTGGGCAGATTTTGGTTCTCAGTTGCAATTTCAGTAATCAAACTTGTGTAGCACCCTCGAAGATCGCAAGCTTGCAGACTCTGGTTTAAAGTCATTGTGGCGATACACAACCTGATTGGCTCTTCCGTTTGCTCTCGGTCAGCCATAGGTCTCGTCGGAATCCAGTAAAAAACACCAGCCTCCAACTTGGTACGGACGGATCATCAGCACATACTGTAGTATTTCCCGACGCAATACAAAAGCCTTGGAGGGCACTAAAAAATGAGAACAAACAACCCTTCTATCTTGATGGATACAAAACCTATGAACTTCACCTACTATTCAATTTCAGCCAATGCCTTCTCAATCCTGTCCATGGCTTGTAATAGCACTTCATCCGCTGCCGCATACGATATTCGGATGCACTCAGGAGCTCCAAAAGCCTCTCCTGGAACCAATGCAACCTGGTACATAAGGGAAGTAAGGTTTCACCGAAACGAGAGGGAAGAAAGTCCATTACATCACATTTTATCATGTGCTCCATCCATGGGTGCAATGAGGGCATGACTGCATGTACATATGTCAGCATAGAGGAGACCGATGTGGGTGTACAGGACAAGATGTGGCGATACCGCATGTCAGAGAAAAACGTGCATCGCATGTCAATGGGCACAAAGGATGACGTAAAGGGGCATAAGGCCGCTGCTGCATCTGTTGCAGCAGGTGTGACCGAGCCAAACCCCCACCCTGCATGTCCACATTTCACAGCTGGACCCTCACCTACCCGCCCCCTCTTCAGCAAGTATTGAGCCAAGCCCCCACACCCCCCCAATTGCACATCGTGCCACTGTGTGAACCCCCGACAGTCGCAGCAGCTGCTACTCTCACCTGCCCCCTCTCTAGCAGGAATCGGCACATCTATGTGCTGTCCGTCCATGATCGGGCCAAACGCCCACACCCCTGCAATTGCACGTCATGCCCCTGTGTGAGCCCCTGACAGTCACAGCAGCTACTCTCACCTGCCCCCTCTCCAGCAAATATCGGCACATTGACTCGCTGTCCGTGATTGGCCCAAACCCCGGGCCCGAGCGGCCGTAGAAGGAGGAGACGTCCGGGAAGAGGTAGAACGCCCCCTGGTGGTGGTGGTGATGTGGGAGGGGCGGGAGTGGTGGGAGGAGTGGTAAAGGTTGGGAGTGGAGTGCGATGAAGGGAAAGTGGCCGTAGAAGGAGGAGACGTCCAGAAAGAGGTGGAACGCCCCCTGGGGTTGATGGGGTGGGAGAGGAGGGGGAAGAGGGGAGGAGGAGAGGAGGGGAAGAGGGGAGGAGGAGAGGAGGGGGAAGAGGGGAGGAGGAGAGGAGGGGAAGAGGGGAGAAAGGAGAGGAGGGGAAGAGGGGAGGAGGAGAGGAGGGGGAAGAGGGGAGGAGGAGAGGAGGGGAAGAGGGGAGGAGGAGAGGAGGGGAAGAGGGGAGGAGGAGAGGAGGGGAAGAGGGGAGGAGAGGAGGGGAAGAGGGGAGAAAGGAGAGGAGGGGAAGAGGGGAGAAAGGAGAGGAGGGGAAGAGGGGAGAAAGGAGAGGAGGGGAAGAGGGGAGAAAGGAGAGGAGGGGAAGAGGGGAGAAAGGAGAGGAGGGGAAGAGGGGAGAAAGGAGAGGAGGGGAAGAGGGGAGAAAGGAGAGGAGGGGAAGAGGGGAGAAAGGAGAGGAGGGGAAGAGGGGAGAAAGGAGAGGAGGGGAAGAGGGGAGAAAGGAGAGGAGGGGAAGAGGGGAGAAAGGAGAGGAGGGGAAGAGGGGAGAAAGGAGAGATACATGAAAGGAGAGATACATGAAAGGAGAGATACATGAAAGGAGAGATACATGAAAGGAGAGATACATGAAAGGAGAGATACATGAAAGGAGAGATACATGAAAGGAGAGATACATGAAAGGAGAGATACATGAAAGGAGAGATACATGAGGTGACTTTTGAGGTAAGCAGCTGTAGAAAGAGGAGACGTCCGGGAAGAGATAGAATGCCCCCTGGTGTTGGAGGTGTAGGAGAGGTAGGAGGCGGAAGAGGGGAAGAGGGGAAGAGGGATGAAAGGGGAGAGACATGAGGTAAGCAGCCATAGAAGGAGGCGATGACTGTGAAGAGATAGAAAGGCTCCTGGAATGGTGTTGCGGGAGAGTTGGGAGGGGTGATGTGGGAGAGTTGGGAGGGGTGATGTGGGAGAGTTGGGAGGGGTGATGTGGGAGAGTTGGGACATGGGAGATGAAGGAGGAGACGCGAGGGAAGAGGTAGAGAGCCCCCCTAGGTTGACGAGAGGCGAGGAAGGGGTGTATGGGTTGGGAAGGTGAGAGCCTTCCTCACCCGGGGCACGGCCAGCTTGATTCCAGCAATCTTTTCCAGCCGAGCGGTCCGCATGTCCCGCCTTCTCCTGAATGCCACCACCATCGCTGCCACTGTGTCTCCCCCACGCGTGTTGAGAACCCTCAGACATATTACTTTCTCACCTAAACACGGCCAGCTTGACCCCGGCTATCTTCTCCGGCCGAGCCGTCAGCATACTCCGCACGCAAGTTCTCCGCACGCAAGTTCCACGTGAGATCCAGACATAGCTCAGTAGGCTTAAAGCAAAGATGCCTCAGAATACTCTCTCACCTGGGGCACCTCAGAGGTCTTCTCACCTGGGGCACCTCAAAGGTCTTCTCACCTGGGGCACCTCAGAGGTCTTCTCACCTGGGGCACCTCAAAGGTCTTCTCACCTGGGGCACCTCAAAGGTCTTCTCACCTGGGGCACCTCAAAGGTCTTCTCACCTGGGGCACCTCAAAGGTCTTCTCACCTGGGGCACCTCAAAGGTCTTCTCACCTGGGGCACCTCAAAGGTCTTCTCACCTGGGGCACCTCAAAGGTCTTCTCACCTGGGGCACCTCAAAGGTCTTCTCACCTGGGGCACCTCAAAGGTCTTCTCACCTGGGGCACCTCACAGCCAGATTGACCCCGGCTATTTTCTCCAGCCAGGCATCCAGCATGGCTCGCCTCCTCCTGAATATCTCTACACACGGGATCGTTTTGTTGGTACATACAACTACTCCAGATAGTACTTGTTGGCTTACCTGGGGCACAGCCAGATTGATTCCAGCTATCTTCTCTAGGCGAGCCACCAGCATGTCTCTCCTTCTCCTGAATGCCGCCACCATCGCTGCCACTGTGTCTCCCCCACACGGCCCCAGCTCGAACGCTGCCATGGCTGCCTTCTGAGCGATGCTGCTGGCGCCCGATGTGGTCTGATGGGGTTGGAAGGTGGGGAGGGGGGAGGGGAATACTGTGATGTGGGGTGGGGGAAAAGAGATGGGGTTGCATCATGTCCCGCCTCCGCACAGCCCCAGCTCGAATGCTGCCATGGCTGCCTTTTGAGAAGACCTCTGAGGTGCCCCAGGTGAGAAGACCTCTGAGGTGCACCCGACGTGGTCTGAGTGGATGTGAGGAGAGGGAGAATGGAGGAACGTAGGGGTTAAGGTGGGGGGCGGGTCAAGAGACACCACCCAGCCCCCGTGGAACGCTGCTAGAGCTGCCTTTTGAGCGATGCTGCTGGCTGGCTCAGAGGTGGTCTAAGAATGGTGGACAGGAAGGTGGAAGGGGTAAGATGGAGGGTGGGTGGGTGGGAAACGGAACTGCAGGTGCATTAGAATCCTCTCGCCACCATCGCTGCTATTGTTGAGTCGACTCAAAAATAGGCTCAACAATAGCAGCGTATTCTTTAGTGGACTCAAAAATTAGAAACCTCTTGCCACCATTGCTGCTATTGTTGAGTCGACTCAAAAATAGGCTCAACAATAGCAGCGCATTTTTTAGTCGACTCAAAAATTAGAAACCTCTCGCCACCATCACTGCTATTGTGTCGCCTCCCCTCGTCTGAAAGTGGCCCCAGATCAAACGTGCTTTGAGACGTCTCAAAGTGGCCCCAGATCAAACGTGCTTTGAGACGTCTCAAAGTGGCCCCAGATCAAACGTGCTTTGAGACGTCTCAAAGTGGCCCCAGATCAAACGTGCTTTTTGAGCGATGCTGCTGGCGCAAGAGTTGGTCCGCGGAGCATAAGGGAATCGGGAACCAGCGAGCGAAGCAACTCGGGAGGGTAGATTGTAAGTGGGTGTGTAAGAGGAGTACAAGCACGATTGGACAGCCCCTCACAGCCCCTCACAGCCCCTCACAGCCCCTCACAGCCCCTCACAGCCCCTCACAGGCCCACCCAGCCAGCCCCTCACAACCCCTTCCAGCCCTTCTGAGCCCCACCTGGCTCTGGATGCGGTTTGCTGCTGCTGCAGACAGCTTGACTGTCAATCACAGCCCGTCCCAGCCCCTCCCAGCCCCTCCCAACCCCTTTCAGCCCCACCTGGCTCTGGATGCGGTTGGCCGCTGCTGCAAATGGCTTGGGAGCCGCAAGATAGCCAAGTCGCCAGCCTGTCATGGCGAAGGCCTGTATGGAGGGAGGAGGTAGTGGGGGTTAGGGGAGGGTGAGGGGGGTTGCGGTGAGATATAGAGGAGGGTGAATGGATGCTGCAAACGTCTTGGGAGCTGCAAGATAGCCCACTTTTGAGGCGCCTCAAAAGTTGCTTTTTGAGGTGCCTCAAAGATGTAAAGGAGGGTGGACGGATGCTGCAAACGGCTTGGGAGCTGCGAGATAGCCCAGGCGCCAGCCAGTCATGGCGAAGGCCTGTGAGTGGGAGAGAGGAGGAAAGAATCAAAAACGAAGGGGGGGAGATAGTGAGAAAGAGCTGAGAGTGCCATGCCATGCATACCTTGGAGAAGCCGTTGACTGTGAGTGAGGTTACGCTAACACATGCCAGGTAACGGCTTGCTGCGGTTCAAATCCATTTTCTACTCTGCCAGGTAAGGGATGATGACCAGCGGGTTGTGCGCTCTTTAAGGGTGCTCTGAGAGTGCCGCACGAACATACCTTGGAAGAAGCTGCTGACTGTGAATGTGCTGTGCTCCCACATGCTGGGAAGAGCTGTGTGCCCTTCAAGGTTGCCCTTCAAGGTTGCCCTTCGAGTGTTCTGAGAGTGTTCTGAGAGTGGTGTGGCATACCTTGGAGAATCTGTTGACTCTGACTGTGCGCTCTCACATGCCTGCCAGGGAGAGTTGTGCGCTCTCACATGCCTGCCAGCCTGCCAGGGAGAGTTGTGCGCTCTTTGAGTTGAGGTGCCCTAACAGTGTTCTGTGCGTGCCCAGGGATGAGACTGTTCTCAGATTCCGCTCAGAGTGTTCTGTGAATGCCATACCTTGGACGAGCTGCCATACCTTGGACGAGCTGCCATACCTTGGACGAGCTGCCATACCTTGGACGAGCTGTTGACTGTGAGCGTGCGCTCCCACATGCCCAGGAGAGGTGTGCACTCTTAAAAAACGCTCTGTGAGTGTTCTGTCAGTGTTCTGTGCGTGCTCTGAGAATGCCCTGAGAGCAGCATACCTTGGAGAATCCGTTGACTGTGAGTGTGCGCTCCCACATGCCGGGGAGCGAAGCAAAGCTCATGTGGCGAGCTGGCGGGTAGATGATGTGCTCGTATATCTCATCTGCTAGGACCTGTAGTGTGGGGATGGGGGAAGAGAGAGAAGGGTGCGTGAGGAATAGAGCACATGGATAGAGCTGGCGGGTAGATGATGTGCTCGTAGATCTCGTCTGCTAGGACCTGTAGTGTGGGGATGGGGGAAGAGAGAGAAGGGTGCGTGAGGAATAGAGCACATGGATAGAGCTGGCGGGTAGATGATGTGCTCGTAGATCTCGTCTGCTAGGACCTGTGGGGACGGACGGAGGGGATGGATGGGCGAAAAGGTGGTTGAGAGAGAAATAGAAGGCATGAAAGGGATGGAAGGCATCGCATGGACAGAGCTGGCGGGTAGATCAAGTGCTCGTAGATCGTGTCTGCTATCACCTGTGTGGGGGTGGCCGGTTTTGAGACGTCTCAAAACGGGCACAAAGGCAGAGGAGGAGGAAGAGGAGGATGCATGGTTCGGCTGGTTGAGTGAAGACGGGTGATTGAGGAATAGAGCACGCGTTTCGATCTCATCTGCTAGGACCTGTGTGGATGGTTAGGGGGGCAAAAGGGTAGAGGAGGAGGAGAGGAGGCATGTAAGGGATGGAAGGCAATCTAAGGGGAAACCCCATCTGCTAGCACCCGTGTGGATGGTGGGGGAGGGATAAGGCAGTTGGGAGAGGATGACAGGGCATGAAATTTATCGCAGGCAAGCGCAGGGGGGGAGTAGACAGTTCCAGTGGGGTTAGACTAGAGCACGAGCAGAGGATGAAGGGAGATTGCAAGAGCTGAGACACACTTGATCCCCCTCTCCTCCCCTCTATAGGTGCAATACTCACTCGCCAGCAATCGAGGCCGAGGGTGCTGAGCTGAGCCACCATGCCTGCCTTTGAATCGACTCGAAAGTCAACTCATTCGAGTCTACTCGAAAGTCAACTCATTCGAGTCGACCCGAAAGTCAACTCGTTCGAGTCAACTCGAAAGTCAACTCGTTCGAGTCGACTCGAAAGTCAACTCGTTCGAGTCGAATCAACAGTCAACTCATTTGAGTCGACTCAAAAGCAATCGAGGTCGAGGGTGCTGAGCTGAGCCCCCACGTCCGCCTGCCAGTTGCTGCAGCTGCTCCGCGGAACACACAGCTCCGGTGGGGTTGGAGGGCAAGAGGAAGGGAGCATCACCCACCAAGCAAAGCACTCACAAGCAATCGAGGGTGCTGGGCCACCACGTCTGCCAGACGAGTTTTGAGTCGACTCAAAACTCGAGGGTGCTGGGCCACCACGTCTGCCAGATCCTGCAGCTGCTCTGACGAGTACACGGCTCCCGTGGGGTTGGTTGGGTAGGAGTATACAGCCTCAGTGTGCTTGGGGGGATAGAAGCACCGCACACCAAGCGAAGCACTCACCAGCAATCGGGGGTGTTGGGGCCACGCCACCACGTCTGCCAGATCCTGCAATTGCTCTGGGGAATAGACGGCTCCGGTGGGGTTGGAGAGCGAGCAGTGGACGAGGGGAGGCTGTGAGAGCATCCAAGCTCATAATGGAGTAGCTGTGAGAGCTGAGAGTCATTCCATCCCGTCCCGTCCTCTCCTTCGTTACGTGGTGTTGCACTCACCAGCAATCGCGGGTGTTGCACTCACCAGCAATCGCGGGTGTTGCACTCACCAGTAATCGCGGGTGTTGAGCTACAATTTCTGCCAGCTGCTGCAGCTGTTCCGGGGAGTAGACGGCTCCGGTGGGGTTGGAGGGCGAGCAGAGGATGAGGAGGCGCGAGGCAGGGGTGAGGGCGGCTTGCAGGGCGGAGGGGGAGAGGAGGAAGGAGTGGGCCGTGGTGGTGGGGAGGATGACGGGTGTTGCTCCCACGACTTTAGCCATCTCAGGGTACGACACCCAGTAGGGCGCTGGGACGATGACCTGGGGGAGGGGGGGGAGGGGTGGGTGGAGGGAGGTGAAGGTGAGAGAGCATGAGGAGTTACAGTGGCATCATGAGTGCTGATGACTGGTGTGGCTCCCACGAGGCGAGCCATCTCGGGGTAGGACACCCAGTAGGGCGCTGGAATGATGACCTGAGAAGGGGGGGGGGGGGTGGAAGAGGCAAGTGCAGGGGGGAGAGAGGGCAAAGCAGGAGTCAGCATGTCGTGTGGCAGTGGCAGCATGAATGCTGACTGGCTCCCACTAGGCGAGCCATCTCGGGGTAGGACACCCAGTAGGGCGCTGGGATGATGACCTGGAAGAGGGGGAAAGAGGGACGGAGGGGATAGAAGAGGATGAGGCAGCAGCAGCAGCAGCAGCAGTGGCTCCTAGGCAAGCCATCTCAGGGTAAGACAGTTAGCAGGGAGCTGGGATGATGAAGGAAAAATGGGGGAGGGGGAGTGGGTGGGAGAAAGTGGGAGTGGTGGGAAAATGGGAAGAGCTGCGACCTCACGTGAAGAAAAAAGTGTTTTGAGACGTCTGAAACCACTTCTTTCTTCACGTGGAAAGTGGGAGTGGTGGGGAAGGAAAGGGGAAGAGCTGCGACCCCATTTCACCTCGTCTCCAAGTCACCTCGTCCCCATATCCCATGCCTCACCTCGTCCCCATATCCCATGCCTCACCTCGTCCCCATATCCCATGCCTCACCTCGTCCCCATATCCCATGCCTCACCTCGTCCCCATATCCCATTCCTCACCTCGTCCCCATATCCCATGCCTCACCTCGTCCCCATATCCCATGCCTCACCTCGTCCCCATATCCCATTCCTCACCTCGTCCCCATATCCCATGCCTCACCTCGTCCCCATATCCCATGCCTCACCTCGTCCCCATATCCTATGCCTCACCTCGTCCCCATATCCCATTCCTCACCTCGTCCCCATATCCATTCCTCCCCGTCTCAGTCACCGTGTCCCACGGACAGCATGCGGCCATGACCCTTTGGAACACGGCGTGCTTGGCTGGTAAGAATGGAATGGAATGTCCCTGCTACTCCCTCCCCCTGCCACCCAGTGTGCCTCGTGCCAATGTGACTGGAAGCATCCTTGGTCTCTCACCTCATCCCCGTCGCTCTCACCTCATCCCCCGGACTGCATGCGGCCATCACCCCTTGGAACACGGCCTGCTTGGCTCCGTTGCTCACCACCACTTCCTCTGGCGAGTAGGTCAGCCCGTTCTCCGCTGTGAGGGGGAGGGCGTTGAAGGAATCAAAAGAGGAACCACGGGAATGTAAGAGTCGATGTGGATGAGCTCCAGAGTGCTTTGGTTGGGCACCGATTCACAGTTTGATTCAATTTGACCATCACTACCCCACCCCCTGCCCCACCCTCAGCCCATTCCGTTAACTTTAACCACCAATGAGCCATGCCACCACTCACTCTTGAGCTTCTCGCAGATGGCCGCGCTCTGAGCTCCAGAGAGCCCTGGATGGGCACCTGCTCACAGCGTGCCCAATGCCCATCACGTGACCAGCATTCAACCATTAAGCAAGCAACCACTGTTCACCGTCACACGCCCCAACTCACTCTTGAGTTTCTCACAGATGGCTGCTCTGAGCTCCAGAGTGCCCTGGTTGGGTGCGTAGCGTGTGAAGCCCTGCCTCAGAGCCGCCACTCCTGCCTGGTGATGGGGGGTGAGGGGAGGGGATGGGGAGGGGAGGAATGGGGAGGTTGTGGAAGTGGGGGGATGGGGTGTGTGGGGAGGGAGGGAATGGCTATCCTGGTTGGGTGTGTAGTGTGTGAAGCCCTGCCTCAGAGCCGCCACTCCTTCCTGGAGGGGGGTAGGGGGGGGAGAGAGGAAGAGAGGGGAGGGTGGGTGTGTGTCGTAGTGGGGAGATGAAGTGTGTTGGAGGGAATGATACTCCTGGTTGGGCGCATAGCTGAGTGAAGCCCTGCCGCAGAGCCGCCACTCCTGCCTGGCGGTGCATGCGAGCGGGTTTGGTGGGGGGGACAGAGTGTGTGGGGGGGGGTGGAGGGCGAAATGCTAACCCTGGTATCATCCTGGTTGGTACGGCGCGTATCATCCTGGTTGGTACGGCGCGTATCATGTGAAGGCCTGCCGCACAGGTGCCACTCCTGGCTGGTGCCAGACGGGGGGAGAGAAAGGGGGGGATGGGGTGTGGTTATCTTGGTTGGGGGCGTATCGGGTGAAGCCCTGCCGAAGAGCCGCCACTCCTGCCTGGTGAAGGGGGGTAAGGGGGAGGGGAGAGGAGGGGAGGGGAGGGTGGGTGTGTGTAGTAGTTGGGGGGATGAAGTGTGGGGGATGAAGTGTGGGGGATGAAGTGTGGGGGATGAAGTGTGGGGGATGAAGTGTGGGGGATGAAGTGTGGGGGATGAAGTGTGGGGGATGAAGTGTGGGGGATGAAGTGTGGGGGATGAAGTGTGGGGGATGAAGTGTGGGGGATGAAGTGTGGGGGATGAAGTGTGGGGGATGAAGTGTGGGGGATGAAGTGTGGGGGATGAAGTGTGGGGGATGAAGTGTGCGGGAGGGAAAGATAATCCCGGTTGGGCGCATAGCGTGTGAAGCCCTGCCTCAGAGCAGCCACTCCTGCCTGGTGAAGGGGGGGGAGGGGGGAGCGCGAGGGCGTGGATGGGATGGGTGTGAGTGAAATGGGTGTGAGTGAAATGGGTGTGAGTGTAATGGGTGTGAGTGTAATGGGTGTGAGTGAAATGGGTGTGAGTGTAATGGGTGTGAGTGTAATGGGTGTGAGTGTAATGGGTGTGAGTGTAATGGGTGTGAGTGTAATGGGTGTGAGTGTAATAGGTGTGAGTGTAATGGGTGTGAGTGTAATGGGTGTGAGTGTAATGGGTGTGAGTGTAATGGGTGTGAGTGTAATGGGTGTGAGTGTAATGGGTGTGAGTGTAATGGGTGTGAGTGAAATGGGTGTGAGTGTAATGGGTGTGAGTGCAGGGAATGGTTGGTTGCATAGCGCGTGAAGCCCTGCCACAGAGCCACCACTCCTGCCTGGTGATGGGTGGGTGTGATTGTAGCGGGTGTAAGTAATGCGACGCGACGATGAGGACAGTACAGTGAATGAAGGGAGGTGATGAATATGTCCAGTCCCTGCGCCCTGCCTCCTGTCCAGTCCCCACTCGCTCCCCAACTCACTCCCCTCCTCGCTCCCCACCTCGCTCCCCTCCTCGCTCCCCTTCTCGCTACTCCCCTCGCTCCCCCCTTCGCTCCCCCCCTCGCTCCCCCCTTCACTCCCACCCTCGCTCTCCCCCTCGCTTCTCCCCTCGCCTCCCCCTTCGCCTCCCCCCTTGCTCCCCCCTTCGCTCCCTCCTTCGCTCCCCCACTCGCTCCCCCACTCGCTCCCCACCTCGCTCCCCTCCTCGCTCCCCCTCTCGCTTCTCCCCTTGCTCCCCCCTTCGCTCCCCCCCTCGCTCCCCCCCTCGCTCCCCCCTTCGCTCCCACCCTCGCCCCACATCTCGCTCCCCCCCTCGCTTCTCCCCTCGCTCCCTGCGTCGCTGCCCCCCTCGCTCCCCCCTTCGTTCCCCTCCTCGCCCCCCCCTCACCTAAACGATCTCCTTGCGCCTCAACCGCCGCCTCCCTCCCTCGTTGCACCATTCCCCGCACTCCCACTCTCCGTGCTTCCATTCCCTTCCCTCCATTTCTCAAGGAGGTATCCGCAAGGAGGGGAGTCGCTCGCTCGTCCCCCATTCCTCTCCTCACCTCGACAATTTCTTAGGGGGTATCAAAATCGGACTCCCCCGCGGCCAGTGCGATCAAAATCGAATCGCCCCCCGCCTTGAGTGTTCTCTCTCTCCTTCTTTGCACTCACTCGCCTTACTCCTGCTCCATTCACCCCCGTCTCCATTTTCCCAGTTTCCCATTCCCCTCACCCGCTCACCCCGCTCATCCCCCCTCTCACCTCTACAATCTCCTTAGGGGTGTCAAAATCAGGTTCCCCCGCAGCCAGCTCGATCAGCGGAACGCCTTGCGCCTTGAGCGCCCGCGCCGCGTCCGTCAGTTGCGCCGTGCGCGACGCCGCCAGCCCCGCCACCACCGGGTTCAGCGCCGTCAGCGCACTCTTCCCCCCTCCACCCGCGCTCGCGCTCGCGCCCGCGTCCGCGCCTGCGGTGGAAGCCGCGGAGGCGGAAGCGGCTGCTGCTGGAGTCGCGTCTGCGCGCGCTGGCGCGGGGTGCTCCTGCTGCAGCTGCGCGGGAATTCCCGCGGAGGGGAGGGCGGAGTCTCCGCCGACGTTCATGGCGGCGGAGCTTCGATGCACCGCCTGGCGCGGAGGGGCTGGAAAGGGGCGCGCGCTAGCAGCAACGAGCGCGGATTGGCGTAATTTTCCCGGGAGGAAGGGGGACGAGCAGGGAGGGGGCCGAAAGAGAGGGGAAGGGAGAGAGGGGAGGGGGGAGCGATGAAATGTGGTGTAACGCATCCCTACCTGGCAATTAAGCTACAGCGTTTAACTCGCTACGTAGGGCGATTAAGCTACAGCGTTTAACTCGCTACGTATGGCGATCAAACTAAATCGTTAACTCGCTACGTAGAGAAGGTAGCAGCGCGTTTGACCCAAAATGAGCCGCGAGCAAGTGGTGGATCATTTGTGGTGGACAACTTTTGTGGTCAACCACCCCCACAAAAAGACATGCGGTTGGAATTAGCCGAACCTCAACCGAACCTCCTTCACATTGGTTGGTTGGAATTCCAACCTCCACATTGGTTGGTTGGAATTCCAGCCTCCACATTGGTTGGTTGGAATCCCAACGACCAAATCCACTTGATGACTGACAACACTGCACTGTACACACGGTAGCAAAAGACCGTCTGGACGCTGCACACGATCTAGAATGTTACGAGTGCAATTGAGTGAGTGAGCGAAGATTGCACTATCGAGGCAAAGAATACAATGAGCGAAAGATTGAGCGAAGAATATATAGCGAAGCTATGGTGGTAACGGTAACGTGGGGAAATGGGGTGCGCGACGGGCCTGGTGCCGAGGTTGGGGACTGTCGAGGCAGAGGTCCGGAGTGCGGGTTACCAACCGAACCGTGAGGTTGGGTCGCATCCAGGGCTGATTTTATCAGGGTAATTACCCTGATTTCAGGGTGATTTCAGGCTTTCCACTTCGTGGAGACTGAAATTTCAGAGTTATTGAATTTCCAGCCCTGATCCAATCAGAGTAATAGTTTAGCTATCCCTGATTTTGAGTACAGTGTAACAGACTAGGCTGTTAGTGGACCCTGACTTAACAGAGTATCGACTGTGTGGACCCTGACTTATCGAGAGGAAGTTTCTCGGAAGTTTCCTTCCGATGACCCCGCCTTGTATTGATCGCAGTGATCCCCCCACATGTGCGTAATCCCCCCCCCTTTCCGCTTTATCGAAACGAAGTTTCTTCGAAACTTCGTTCTGATACACCTACCATCGAGATCGCGTGAATCTGCAATGTCAGATATACTTTGCTGGGATTGGTCGAAATAGGCTCTGACAGCGGAAATCTGTCAGATATACTTTGCTGGGATTGGTCGAAATAGGCCCTGTCAGCGGAAATAGGCTCTGACAGCGGAAATCTGTCAGATATACACAACGCGCAGACTTTATGGAGAGTGGGGATATTTTCCCCGGTAACAAAGCGCGCGTTACTACTCTGATGTTCAGTTCTCGACCCTGAACAATCAGTGTTAACTACTTTACAACCCTGAGCAATCAGGGTACTGCTTTTCTGGAAAATGTGCACCCATAATAGAGGGGGAAAATTTTCCCCGGAATCAGGGAAGCTTAAAATGAAACGTCAGCCCTGGTCGCATCGTGTACAGTGGCGGGAATGGTGTCGAGGCGAATGTCGCAAGTGGTAACAGAATATTGTGGGGTGCTTGTTGGCGGGAACAGTGGTGTACGCGCTGAGCAGGGACGCGAAGTAAGGAAACGGAATTTTCCTTACATAGAACGTTCTGTTATTAACTTATAATGGTTGTGTAGGGTACTTCAATGTAGGCACTTCTAGGACCCACCCTAGTGAGGATTACTGGTCTGGGAGAGAGCATTCGGTTGAAAGAGGCTGGGTAGTGTGCCGAAAGGTGCGAGAGCGACTCGAGTTTGGTTTGGGGCGAGGCAAGAATGTAGGCCGAACGAGCTGGCTTGAGCCAGGGTGTCTCGCTTTACTGCGCTGCACTTGGGGTCGGTCTCTCTAGTGTACTACGGAAAGCGTGAATGTTTATTAAGTGAAAAGGAACTTGCAAAAGGAGATGCGCATATGATAAAGGTCAGGATACATGCGCAGTTTGAATAATTTAGGATCTGAATGACACCGCATACTCCAGATTTTGACACAGAATATTGTGAAAAGTCAGGGGCCCATGCTCAGCAGCATGTCTGAAATCCCATACTCTTATTATTTAGTCAGATAAAAACAGCCCATCGGGCGTAACATATGGTAATGAACAACTTGTTGGGTTCATTTACGTAGTTGTTACACCACATGATCCCTGCAGGCGTGCTTGCTTCATCTACGTATATTGATATCTTTAGTCAAACTTAGGCATGTTATAACCCCACATGACGAGCGACTTGTTTGGTTTATTGAGCCACAATCTGTGATTGAAAATGTCCATATCATCTGCCATCACGCCTCCACATCGCGTCGACGCTGCTAAGAGGACATCGGCATAAGAGCACACAAGCTTGTCAAGGATTGCCACAACACCTGTGAGAGGGATCAAACAGGAATGAAGGCGGGTAAAGGAGGGAGATGTGCACTCCTTCGGGAATAGCTAGAGCACCAACATGAGGGCACACAAGCTTGTCAAGGATTGCCACAACACCTGTGAGAGGGATCAAACAGGAATGAAGGCGGGTACAGGAGGGAGATGTGCACTCCTTCGGGAATAGCTAGAGCACCAACATGAGGGCACACAAGCTTGTCAAGGATTGCCATCGAGTGCGGATGAGTGGGGTTAAGTAGGGTTGAGTGGGGATGATTGGGGATGAGTGGAAACGAGTGGGGATGAGTGGAAACGAGTGGGGATGGGTCGAGTTCAGTGGGTATGAGTGGGGATGAGTAAGGATGGAGGGGATGAGTGGGGAGTTTTTAGAAAAAAAAATCGTCCTAGTTTTCCAGCTCACCGGAATCAAATCTTGCGACCGCTGGCAGCAGCTCGTTGATTGTGACGGTATCATTGACTTGCTCTCGCATCCCTGTCATCTCCTTGAGTGCCACGTCAGCAACACCAGTGCCATTGCTGCGTCGGCTCTCATTGCTCCTGTTGCTCTCATTGCCCTGTTTGCTCTGGATGGCGAACTGCTGATCCAAATCTTTCCAACGTGCTGTCTCTCCTTCTGCTACAGATGATACAGATGCCACTGCTGCTGCAGCTTCTGAGACCCCTGCATCCAATACACTTGCTCCTCTCCCTTCTTCTCCTTTCTCCCCAGCTCTCCACTCTCCACCCACCCTGCTCTTCCTCAACACGTCAGCAGCAACAATCACGGTTCGAGCCGATACCCACCCCCGAACCACGCTTGCTTTACGCACGGACGCCTTCACACACCACTGCAGCTGCTGCTCAAACTGCCGCTCCACCTGCTGCTGCTGGTTCTCCGAGCCTGGCTGCTCCGATCCTGGCTGTTCCAGGCCTGGCTGCTCCGAGCCTGTCTGCTCCAAGCCTGGCTGTTCCGAGCCTGGCTGTCCCGAGGCTGGCTGTTCCGAGCCTTGCTGCTCCGAGCCTTCCTGCTGCCCTGCTGACGCGTTTGCTCTTTGCTGCTCCGCTTCTCTTCTCTGCTTGGCATCACAGGGTGGTGAGGAGAGGGGGGGAGTGGTGAGGAGAGGTGGGGGGAAGTGATTGAAATTGTTTTGAGGCCTTCTGAGATTGAATTCCAAGCTCCTTGTCGCTTCTCCCCTCTGCTTGCCATGACAGGGGAATGGGGAGAGGGGGGTGAAGGGGAGGGTGGAGGAGAAGAGAAAGTGAATTTTCAAAGACTTATCTAAAAGAGTGATACAGAGTGGGGTAAGGGGACAGCGGACAGGGTTCTTTCACCTTTGTTTCCAAGACTTACCACTCTCCACGCCATCACATCGGGTTGCAAGTGCACCACCATCACAGTCTTATTCAGAGTACCGTTAAGGCTTTGTAGCGAGTACATGCAGCTACCTGTTATGTGTTATGGTGAGCAGGTAACGCATCCCCTTTTCCTCCCTTGTGCTCCCTCTTTTCCCTCTTTTCTCTTCTTTCCCCTATGTCCCGCCTCCCCCCTTGTTCCCCTCTCCCACGTTTTCCCCCTTCCCCCTCTTTCCGCTATTCCATCCCTCCCCTTCCCCCCTATACACCCAACTCACCACTCTCCACGCGATCACGTCAGGTTGCAAGCGCACTGCCATCACAGTCTTATTCAGAGTACCGAGCAGGCTTGTAGCGAGTACATGCAGCTGCCCGCTGTACGGCAGAGATTCCAAGGCGAGGCTGCCCGTGGGCGGGTCGAACTCGATCATGCCTGCTGCTGCCTTCACCCACACCACCACGTCCTTGTCTTGCCTGCGTGGGTGCGAGGGTAGTGGGACATGAGTCATGAGAAGGCAAGGGGAGGGAAGTCCGATGAGTGGTCTGAAAGGTTGCTGACATGCTACGCTACTTCCTTCACCCCACGAAAGAGTGAACAGAGCAGAAGCTCCTTGAAGTCATCATATCTGCAGCACAGTGGGCTCCTACTCACCAAGCCAGCAAAGCAGGATCAGACTCATCAGGCCTGCATAAGTACTTGCACGGCACCGGCTCGCAGCGGGAGGTGCAGGTCACGTGGTGTTGTTAGCTTCCCTGACAGCACATACATTAGGCTTGGACTCTCCAAGCCTACGAAGGAGGCTTGGACTCACCAGGCCTGCATGAGCACTTGCACAGCATCGGCTCGCACTGGGAGGAGCAGGTCGAGCGTGTTGGAGGGGAGAGGCACGTGCCCCATGGCGTATGGCAGTAGATGGCCCATGATGGCTGATAGGGGCTCTGGAAGAGACAAGGGAGGGGTTGAGGGGTGGTTGGGGAGGAGGGGGAGGGGGGGGCAGGGAAAGGAGGAGGTGAGCGTGTTGGAGTGGAGGGGAGAGGCCCATACATACAGGTGGATACAATGGAAGGGACGAAGCAAGGCACACACCATGGAGGAAGGGGGCTTGCTGGGCGTGCCGCGGCTGCACCCACACGAAGCCCACCGCAGGGCTTCTCAGCCCAGCAACGCCCGAAATATCCGAAGTGGAACTCGAGCCACTGGTATCAGAGCCGTTGGTTGGGGGAGAGGCAGTAGCAGCAGCACGGGCGAGCAGCAGGAAGAGGTCCGGCGACATCCAAGCCACGTGGGGCAGGCTTGGCAGTTGTTCGGGCGACTGAGAGGCTTGGGAGGCGTTGGAATGGTTCTTCTCGGGGCTGCCTTTGACACTGGGGGCGGCATTGACCTTAGGTGTGGCGGCCTGGGAGAGGTTGAAGAGGTCCCAGTAGGCGCAGAGGGGTAGTGGATGGGCGAGAGAGACGTGACTGTCGCCCACCTGAAGGAAAATGGTGAGAACGAGGGGGGGAGAGGGAAGGAATTGGGGCAGGGAATGTGGTCATGTTAGGGCGTGGCGACCTGGGAGAGGTTGAAGAGGTGCCAGTAGGCGCAGGGGGGGAGGGGATGGGCGAGAGAGACATGGCTGTAGGCACGACAGCCACGTGGCAGGCGTAGCATCAAAGCACGACAGCCTGGGAGAAGAGGGGTGCCAGTAGGCTCGGAGTGGGGGAGGATATTTCGATTTGGGGGGTGGAGGAGAGGCAAGGAATCTAGTTTTGAGACGTCTCAAAACTGGATATTTCGATTTGGGGGGTGGAGGAGAGGCAAGGAATCTAGTTTTGGGGGGTGGAGGAGAGGCAAGGAATCTAGTTTTGAGACGTCTCAAAACTGGATATTTCGATTTGGGGGGTGGAGGAGAGGCAAGGAATCTAGTTTTGGGGGGTGGAGGAGAGGCAAGGAATCTAGTTTTGGGGGGTGGAGGAGAGGCAAGGAATCTAGTTTTGAGACGTCTCAAAACTGGATATTTCGATTTGGGGGGTGGAGGAGAGGCAAGGAATCTAGTTTTGGGGGGTGGAGGAGAGGCAAGGAATCTAGTTTTGGGGGGTGGAGGAGAGGCAAGGAATCTAGTTTTGAGATGTCACACGACACACACACCTATCTGCGGGCTATCTGAACTTGGGCAGAACCAGAATGCGGCCGGACATGCGGGCTATCCTCGCTGCCTCCTCCACATCCATCCGCACGTTAGTGGTTGGTTTGCCTGAGAAGCCAAGCACCAGGAAGCGAGGGCGAGCGACAGCCTGTAGCACACACAGGGAACAGGGGTGGAGGAAATGGGGAGAGAGGAAAGAGGGAAAGGTGGTTGTATGGTACTGTTGAGCGTGGGTGGTTGGTTTGCCTGTGAGGCCAAAGACTGGAGAGGGAGGGCGAGAGGAGCTGTGCGATGGGTTAGGAGCAGGGGAAGGAAGATGAGCACAGGGTATTAGGCAGGTGGAAAGCGGGAAAGATGGGTGGTGTGTGAAAAGCAGAAACGTATTTCTAACATGGTGTGCGAGACTAGAAGCCAAAGACCAGAAGGCGGGAGGGGCTCTGCTGTGTGGGGAACGGGGGTGGGGGAAATGGGGGGAGAGAGGAAAGAGGGAAAGGTGGGTGGTAGAGGCGAGGGTCAGTGGCTTGCATATAGTGAAGGGGATGGAGTGAACTCATAGTGAAAGGGATGGAGTGAACTAATAGTGAAAGGGATGGAGTGAACTCATTAGTGAAAGGGATGGAGTGAACTCATTAGTGAAAGGGATGGAGTGAACTCATTAGTGAAAGGGATGGAGTGAACTCATTAGTGAAAGGGATGGAGTGAACTCATTAGTGAAAGGGATGGAGTTAACTCATTAGTGAAAGGGATGGAGTGAACTCATTAGTGAAAGGGATGGAGTGAACTCATTCGTGGCTTGCATGCCTGAGAAGCCAAACACCAGGAAGCGAGGGCGAGAGGGGCTCTGCTGTGGGTTGGGGGCAGGGGTGGGGGGAGAAGGGTGGGGGAAGAGGGAAAGGTGGATGGTGTGGTACAGGCGAGCGTGGGGGGTGTGCTGGTCTGTGAAGCCAAAGACAAGGAAGTGAGGGCGAGAGTCGGCCTGTAGCGTAGCGGACGAGGGTGGGGGAAATGGGGGGAGAGTGGAAAGAGGGAAAGGTGGGTGGTCAGTCGGACACATCAGCAGGAGAGCATGGTTGGTGTGCGAGGCTCTCAAGCCAAACACCAGGATGCGAGAGTGAGAGACGCTCTGCTGTGAGGGAAAGAGGGGTGGAGGGAATAGGGGGGGAAAGAGAGAAAGGTGGGTGGTACAGGCACGCGCTGTGAATGTGCTGGCCTAGGAAGCTCTCTGGACGTGAGGGCAAGAGGCACCAGGACGTGAGGGCAAGAGGCACCAGGACGTGAGGGCAAGAGGCACCAGGACGTGAGGGCAAGAGGCACCAGGACGTGAGGGCAAGAGGCACCAGGACGTGAGGGCAAGAGGCACCAGGACGTGAGGGCAAGAGGCATCAGGACGTGAGGGCAAGAGGCACCAGGACGTGAGGGCAAGAGGCACCAGGACGTGAGGGCAAGAGGCACCAGGACGTGAGGACAAGAGGCACCAGGACGTGAGGGCAAGAGGCACCAGGAAGTGAGGGCAAGAGGGACCAGGACGTGAGGGCGAGGCACCAGGACGTGAGGGCAAGAGGCTCTCTGTGAGGTGCGGTGGTGGCGAGCGAGGTTCAGAGCTTAGTTGGAATTGACGGAGCTAGCGTTTTTTTCGGAACGTTTTTGACGGTCCGTTTTTTACGCTAGACGGAACCCTCCGAGAGTTTGACGGTGGTTTTGACGCTCTGGCGGGCAGGCAAAACAAAACTTTCGGGCAGCCCAAAAAAAAACCAGGGGGGGGGTCTCGGAGGGGGGGGAGGAAGGTAAGAGGGTTGTTGAACCTTCAGGCAGCCAACAATGTGATTTTTCCCCAAAAAAAAACCTCCATAAATAGTACCATGCATACATAGTTCTCAACATTACTATTACCACCATCCGCCCCCATCGACTCCCACTTAAATACCATCCCACGATCACCCATCAAGTACTAAAGCGTGCCACAATCACTATCACGCACTTCCCCTCTATGGCTTCTTCGGGTACTCCTCGTACTCGTCCTCGAGCACCTTCGGATCCGCCTCATCCGCCTCCTCCTCCTCCTCCTCGTCCTCCACGACATACCCCTCGGGAATAGGAGCCTCAGGGATGTTCCCCTTCACAACCCCCACCTGTGGGCCCTTGTGAAAGTTGTGCACGACGTTCCAGTTGTGTGCAACGTAAACAAGGTCGCGGCACTTCACTGAGTCAAGCTTGTTGCGCCTTGCAGTGTGCACCAAGTCCCACATAGACCAGTTCCGCTCGCACGATGCAGCGGATACGGGCTGGGACAGAACACGACGTGCAAGGCGCGCCAGCTCGGGCCACTCAGTGCAATGCCACATCCACCACTGCTCCATCGTCTGCTTCCCTTGCTTCACCTTCTCCCGGGTCTCCATAGCCTTTGGCATCCCACAACTCCCCCTCGACTCCAAGTACGCCGTCACAGCCACCTCCAAATCCACCTCCCTCCCCACCACTCCACTCATGGCGGGATACTTCTTGTAGAAGTCTTGGGCGCGCGCAATGAACTCCTTAAAGACCTTGGTGCACTCCACATCGACCCCGAATATTTCCTCGTCCTGGTTAAGTGGGTTCAAGATCCGGCCAGCCACGTGCATGGCACACGCGAGGCTGTTGTCCCAGCGGTCCTTCAGAATGCGTGAGATCCGCAACTTTTCCGCCCTGCTCAGCTGCTGCTCATCCGCATCCAGCACCTTCTCCATATCTTCCGTCAGCTGCAGCATGAGGTCGTACATGCGGCCCATCATCCCAGGTCTAGTCGAATCCGTCATGCACATCACCTCATAGGGCCGTTGCAGCAGCTTTACAAAGAAGGCAGCAGACTTCCACCAAGCCGGATCAATCACCTCCTTTGCAAACTTCTCGGCCCCCTCCTCCCTGTCCCCCACCGCCCACCCCTTCCACAGGTCGCCCGTCACAAGCACAATCAGCTTCTTCTCCAACTCGCACAACCTCGACATCGCAATGTACTGAGTGCCAAAGCGAGTCCCTGCTGGACGCAACGCCTGCATCACCTTACCCCCAGGCAGCGTCGGGTCCAATGATGCTTGCGCAAGAAGTTTATCATGTCGTTCCTCCTGTCCACAAGCTTCTTCGCCCAGTCCATCTTCTCCACATCCTCCAACAGCAGGTCAATCACGTGGGTGGCGCATGGCGTCAGCTCAATGTGCGGAAACTCCACACCCAACTTCCGACACGCCGAGCGGTAGTTGCTCCCCCCATCCGTGCATAGCGCCACAGCATTCTAGGGCCCGACCTCCTCCACGATGGGCCGTAACATGTCCGCAATGTAGGTGCCCGTCTTTAGATCCTTCCCACAGTCGATGCTCTCTGTAAACATCGCCCCATCGTCGTTGATCAGGAGCACGTTCGCCTGTGCGCGCCCGTTGCGATCAGTCATCATGTCGCTCGCAATGGTGACACCCTGCTTCCCCCAAGTCTTCTTGATGGGCCCCAACCCCTCCTCGATCCGAATGCGGCACTGCTGGAGGCCGGCGCCGCCAACGTACTTGCGGCCGGGGGGGACGTAGCCGGGGCCTGCCTCAGCCACCGCCCTCAACATGTTGCGGAAGAGCGGGTGATCCGCATGGTGCTCGGGAATACGAAGGCCGGCGAAGAAGAGGCGGAGCGACTCATCGGCCTTAGCTTTTGCCACCGCCGCGTCGCCGCCATAATAGTATGAAATTTTCCTCTTCCCACTTGGACCGAACCCACCACTAATCGCCTCCATCGCCGCGGCGGTTGCCTTCCCCTTGTCCTCTTTCGCCTTCCCTTTAGTCTCGTACAATGTCTTAATAGACTCTACCACATCCTTGGGAGCTTTGTGACAAAGGAGGACATCGCGATTCTTAGGTTGACCTTCCCAAACTGCGAGATGCTGAGAGCACCGCGTCGTGGACTTCATGAAATCGTGGGAACAAAATTTGCACATCGCCCTCTTCCCCTTGCCTTTCTTAGGATCCATAAAAAATAAAAAGTGCTTGTATGTAGAATGTTCCGGCATTTCTTCGTACTTTATTCCTTCGCTAGAACCAGCTATCGATGCCCCATGGGTGTCTTCATTCGATGTACTAGGGTTGGAGGAAGCCATGGTGGTAGGATCGGTTTCTAACTTTCTAATAAAAACGCTAACCCTAATGTCGCGTGCGCTAAGCTAGGAGTCGAGTTTGCTGCTGGTCGTAAACCTAGAATGAAGTCGCGGGAGTTGTGCTTGTGCTAAATGTGTGTCTGCAGGTTGCGTTTTGTAGTTGTTGAGCGGTTGAAAGGGGTGGGGGGGTTGTTTTTTGTGTTGTGGGTTTTCAGTGTGTTGCAATGTCGAGTGATTTTTGAAGTCTCGTTTTCGGCGCGAACTTCAATGTTGATTTTTTTTTCACGATTTTTTTTTCGATTTCGGGCTGCCCGAAAACTTTTTGGGGGACCGTCAAGCGTCAAAGTCCCCGTCCAGCGTCAATTCCATCTAAGGTTCAGAGACAGCAGGAGAGCATGTGTGCAGAGGCGCTCTGCATGGGTTGGGTTGGGTTGGGTTGGGGCACAGGAGGGAGGGAAGAATGGAACAGCAGGTCACACGCACGGGACGAGCATGGTTGGTGTGCTAGCAGGGCATAGGCATGGGTGGTGTGCTAGCAGGGGATAGGCATGGGTGGTGTGCTAGCAGGGGATAGGCATGGGTGGTGTGCTAGCAGGGGATAGGCATGGGTGGTGTGCTAGCAGGGGATAGGCATGGGTGGTGTGCTAGCAGGGGATAGGCATGGGTGGTGTGCTAGCAGTGGATAGGCATGGGTGGTGTGCTAGCAGTGGATAGGCATGGGTGGTGTGCTAGCAGTGGATAGGCATGGGTGGTGTGCTAGCAGTGGATAGGAATGGGTGGTGTGCTAGCAAGGGATAAGCATGGGTGGTGTGCTAGCAGGGGATAGGCATGGGTGGTGTGCTAGCAGGGGATAGGCATGGGTGGTGTGCTGGCAGGGGATAGGCATGGGTGGTGTGCTAGCAGGGGATAGGCATGGGTGGTGTGCTAGCAGGGGATAGGCATGGGTGGTGTGCTAGCAGGGGACAGGCATGGGTGGTGTGCTAGCAGGGGATAGGCATGGGTGGTGTGCTAGCAGGGGATAGGCATGGGTGGTGTGCTAGCAGGGGATAGGCATGGGTGGTGTGCTAGCAGTGGATAGGCATGGGTGGTGTGCTAGCAGTGGATAGGCATGGGTGGTGTGCTAGCAGGGGATAGGCATGGGTGGTGTGCTAGCAGGGGATAGGCATGGGTGGTGTGCTAGCAGGGGATAGGCATGGGTGGTGTGCTAGCAGGGGATAGGCATGGGTGGTGTGCTAGCAGGGGATAGGCATGGGTGGTGTGCTAGCAGGGGATAGGCATGGGTGGTGTGCTAGCAGTGGATAGGCATGGGTGGTGTGCTAGCAGTGGATAGGCATGGGTGGTGTGCTAGCAGTGGATAGGCATGGGTGGTGTGCTAGCAGGGGATAGACATGGGTGGTGTGCTAGCAGGGGATAGGCATGGGTGGTGTGCTAGCAGGGGATAGGCATGGGTGGTGTGCTAGCAGGGGATAGGCATGGGTGGTGTGCTAGCAGGGGATAGGCATGGGTGGTGTGCTAGCGGGGGATAGGCATGGGTGGTGTGCTAGCAGGGGATAGGCATGGGTGGTGTGCTAGCAGGGGATAGGCATGGGTGGTGTGCTAGCAGGGGATAGGCATGGGTGGTGTGCTAGCAGGGGATAGGCATGGGTGGTGTGCTAGCGGGGGATAGGCATGGGTGGTGTGCTAGCAGGGGATAGGCATGGGTGGTGTGCTAGCAGGGGATAGGCATGGGTGGTGTGCTAGCAGGGGATAGGCATGGGTGGTGTGCTAGCAGGGGATAGGCATGGGTGGTGTGCTAGCAGGGGATAGGCATGGGTGGTGTGCTAGCAGGGGATAGGCATGGGTGGTGTGCTAGCAGGGGATAGGCATGGGTGGTGTGTTAGCAGGGGATAGGCATGGGTGGTGTGCTGGCAGGGGATAGGCATGGGTGGTGTGCTAGCAGTGGATAGGCATGGGTGGTGTGCTAGCAGTGGATAGGCATGGGTGGTGTGCTAGCAGGGGATAGGCATGGGTGGTGTGTTAGCAGGGGATAGGCATGGGTGGTGTGCTAGCAGTGGATAGGCGAGGCAGAATCAGCAGGAAGCGAGGGCGAGCGGCGCTCTGCAGTGGATAAGGCAGGGGTGGGGTGGGGTGGAGGCATGGCTAGGAGGGTTGCGGACAGGCTAGCAGCCTAACATGGGATTGTCGGTCTGCTCTGCTTGGCTGTGAGTGACGCCCAAAGGCAGGAGGCGAGGGCGAGAGGCGCTGCAGTGGGTTGGGGGCAGGGGTGAGGTGGAATTATGGCTAGGGGGGTTCATACAGGACAGCAGCCGAACATGGGATGGGCGGTCTGCTCTGCCTCTGCTCTGCTTGGCTGCGAGTGACGCCCAATGGCAGGAAGCGAGGGCGAGAGCACTCACGTACGTGTGAGAGGGAGAGGGGCACTCCTAGACTGGTCACGGTGGTGGGGGTGGGAAGGAGGACACCCTTGTCTCTGACTGGGAGAGAGGCGGGGGGCCAGCAGCACTCACGTACGTGTGAGAGGAAAAGAGGCACCCCGGGAACCGGCCAGCAGCTTTCAGGCCATTGCTTGCATCTCGCTTTGATTCCGCCACTTCCAACATCCCCACCCGCCCCGCCACTCTCGCCACTTCCGCCATTCCCACCACTCCCACCACTCTTATCGTCTGCACCACTCCCGTCGCCCCCGTGACAGCCGTCCGCCTGCCCTCCTCCCACCAGACGCCTCTCCACCTCCTTCACCCCCCCACACACTTCGTCTATACCCGCCTCAATGCCCTCTACCCCTGTCACATTCGCCGCTACAGCCGCTCGGATGTAGCTGCTGCCGGCAGCTCGTGCCAGCACGCCACGTTTCCAATCCTCGGAACACACCTGCCCCACCGAACCTGCCTGCTGCTCCGCCACGTCAGCCTCAGTCGGAGGCTCGGTGTTGTCCTTAATAGGCTTGGTGGGTGGCTCGGTGTTGTTGCTTATACTAGCCTCCGTGGGTGGTTCGGTGGTGTTGTTAGCCTTGGATTTAAGCTTCGTTAGTTGCACCTCATCCTCCTCCCCCTCCTGCTCCTCCTCCCCCTCCTGCTCCGCCTTCTCCGCCTGCTCCGCCTGTTCCTCCTTCTCCCCCTTCTCCGCCTGCCCCCCCTGCTCCCCCTTCTCCCCCTTCTCCCCCTTCTCCCCCTTCTCCCCCTTCTCCGCCCCCCCCTGCTCCCCCTGCTCCCCACCCGCCCCCTGCGCCACCTGCTCCGCCTGCTGAGCGCGAAGGGCCAGCCGTCGAAAGGCCTCGAGGAGGCGTGTTCGACACGCGTCTAACTGCGCCGCACTTGCGTCCCCGGAAGACCGTGACCGACCTGCTGCCGTGCTGCTACCAGCGGATATCTTCGTGGCGTTTGAGTCTGCGAAAGTGCTGTTACCGGCGAAATCAGGAAAGCTGTTGTCGGCCCTTTCGTGAAAGAGGCGGAGGCATGAATCGGAAATGCCGAGGAGGCTTATAACGGGAACGTCGCCGTGAGATGAACCTCCAAACGGAGGAGTACCAGAGACAAGGGGAGTAGCGGTGATAGGAACACTACTAGTGCTGCTGCTGCTACTACGAAAAGAAGGACCGCTGCTGCTTCTACTGTCGTCAACTAGCGCGCTCGGTGCTGCTTCGTTATGGGCTTCCTCGATAACAGCGATGTGGGGCAGGCGGAAGGAGACGGGGAACTCGAGGAAGAAGATGACGTGGCAGGCGAGGAAGAGCGCGACGACGATGACTGCGGGCTTGTGAATGGCGGAGGAGAGGAACGAGGGGAGGCACGACGATGATGGGAGGGACGACGGGAGGGATGAGGGGAGTGACGAAGGCAGGAATGGCGGCAGAGCTGAAGGGAGGGACGAAAGATGAAATGACGGGAGGAAGGAAGGCAGGATACTGGGAGGGTGGGAGTGAGGTCTCTTGGTGAGCGACGTCGTCTCGCCCGTCGCATGGGTCGCCCGTGCGACGGATTCACCGTCGCTCGCGTCCATTTCGCTGCGACGGAAGCGAAACGGTCACGATCCGGACTACGGCAAGCGACACTACAGTTCACCGACGGTCTAAGCTGTTGAGTCGACTCAAAAGCACCATTCAATCGACGAAAAGCGGCACTACATTCCGACTGTCTGCGGCATTACAGAGCTCGACTGGTGCCTAGTTTGCTTTCACTACTCTCAAAAGCGACGATAAAGAGGCACTACAATCTGACAGGAACCAGCACTCGGAGTCTCGGTCCAACGGGTTTGCGGCCTAGAATACGGTTATGGAAGCTCGTCTGGTCTCTGGTTTGACATAGAATGCGAAATCTGAGTCGTGTCGCATCCCCACGACAGCAGGACCATACAGCATAACTGTCAGTAAACGATCAGCTGACTACTACTAACATTCCCGTCCAGTCCAGTCCGGACTCCCGTGCGATGCCACACGGGCTGTGTTTGGTTCACGAAGCACAGTTTTCTCGCATCCTCCATTGCCTTGCTTGCTTCCCATGAAATCCCCATGTCAGAACAGAAGCGCGGGAAGATGAGTGCCTTGTAAGTTGTAGCCCACCTGTCTATGGAATGAATGGAGTGACAATTTGGTGTGTGCACTGCACTGCTGTCAGGAGCTGTCAGAGTGGGGTTGTCAGACTCGGTATAGCATGTACAGTCAAAGGTATCAAATAACTATGAGGCATTGGTGGGTTTTATTCTCCTTGATTCACCCACATGAAACATGAAAAACGTTCTGAAATAAAATCATGCAAGGGCTCTGAAGAGTTACCTACAATTGTAAAGTTCTATGTGTACTATTGAGCAAGCAAAAAAGGAGTGCACTATTAATGCAAGGGGTTCTAAGTACAATGAGTGATCACATAAGAAAAAACGAAAGTTCGGTACTGTATTTTCAAATTGTATATATGTGACATAGGCTAGACTGAGTTGTTCCTTAGTGAGTACCACTCTTTTGCATGTTAGGGTTTCCTAATTCTATCACCCTCTTACTACTTCATTCACATTTCGTTGTTCACAATCTTGAAATAGTAACAACGTAGGTCCGTTCCTAAACTCTAGACCCCCTGCCTATCTACCTAGTTCCTAGACCATCCGCTGGCCAGCCAGCCTGTCCCGCCAGCCTTAGCCAGCCAACCAGTGCCAGCCAGCCAGCTGCCAGCCGCCAGCCAAGCGTTCCTAGCCTGCCGTTCCTAGCCAGCCGTTCCCAGTCAGCGGTCCTAGCCTGCTGTATCTAACTCCTTTCTTGCACCATGGCGTCCGCGAGAGTTTTCCGTTTTGACGTAGAAGGTTGAGCGATAGATTTTAGTGCCTGGCTGCTGCATGCCAAGTTTTACCTTTAGAGCCAGCACAGGACGGTGACACATTGTACGCTCACACATCGGGTGATCCGCCTGCCCCTACGCGTCCCACCCCCCTGCCTTCTGTCGATGATCTGTCCTCAATGCCGCCTTGCCTGCACCTGTGGCTCCCTCTCCTCTTTCTCCCACTACTTCAAGGCCTCTGCACCACAATATCTCAGGCCCCAGGCTCTTCCTGAGTCTTTCCACCCTCCTTTGGTGCTTCCTTCTGATGCTAGAGGCAACTGCACGCTTGCCATGGTACGATTACCCACAGGCTCCTGCATCGGGACGACCCAGCTAGGAAAATAGTTAGAGCTCGAATTCCACTAAAGCAAGAGACAAAAAAATATGAACATAACTGATACGCCCAGGCTTGTATATACAGTGGGAATCTTTGCCTAGCGCCAAGGTGACGGGTGGCACCTGATAGTACCGCTCTATACCTGCCCTCTGGCTTGATTTTACACACAAGCATTCAACATGCACACGTATCCAACGGCCTCCAGCCCACTTATTTACAAGAATGATATCTCCACCCTCCATGCCCTCGAAACCCAAACCCTTTCCTATCTCCAGCTGGCCTTGAGTCGTGTCTCATCCTCCCACTCCCGTGGTGCGCTTGCATGCTGGATGTTTCCCAAGCGTTGCCCACGCCTTCAGGTGGCTTCCGAACCTCGCTCCCCAACCATCACTCTGGCCTCGGCACTGTGCATCCAGTATACACTTCTTCGTGAATTTTCTCGACACAACTTTCTGTACACCTCTCCTCCGAGTTACACGTCACACGTATCTCTGAATTCCATTCCGTGATATGTGTGACAGCTGTCGCGATCTGTCCTCACTGCCGCCTTGCCCCGCACCTATGGCTCCCTCTCCTCTTTCTCCCACTGCTTCTAGGCCTCTGCTCCACAATATCCCAGGCCCCATGCTCTTCCTGAGTCTTCCCATCCTCCTCCGGTGCTTCCTTCTGATGCTCGAGGGAGCTGCATGCTTGCTATGGTACGATTACCCACTTGCCCCCTTCCGAGACCCGCCCGGCCCCTTTTGTGGGTCCCCAGGAACCACGACCATCTTCTTGCATTTGGCTCGCACCAATTTGGTTACATGATCCTCCATCCTTTACCCATCTTCTGCTTCTGGGACTAGCACGCCTGAGCTCTTTACTTCTTTCACCACACAGCGCTCTGTCGTCAACCCCAGGTCCAATGTGTCCTTCTTTGCCCTTCGCAAGTGCACCTCTATCCCTTGTGCAACTTCTGCTCCCTTCCCCACTCCTTACCTCCCCAGCCTTTGGCGGTAGCGGTGTGCGTCTCTCACCTCAGCCGTGTGCAAATTCCCCAGTGCTGCTGGCAGCAATTCCTTCATATATCCCACTCGGCAGTGTGCCAGGGCAGCCCAGGCCTCTGGATTTCCAGCTTGCACCACTTCTGTTAGCACCTTTGGGGCCCCCACGGGCAGGACCATCTCCTTTCCCAGCAACAGATAGTACGGCGTCAGATCCTTCAGGGCTGCTTGCTTGCTGAAGTGGTATCCCGCTGCCACCCAATGCAAGTCTTCATCCCAGTTCCTCTTCCTCTCTTCACCGTACTCCCGGAGTCCTCTCTTTACCGCCTGGACCATTCGCACTGTGAGGCCGTCCGCTTGCGGATGGTACCTCGATGTCCTCTGGTGCACTATACCCACATCTTTCAGCAGCTTGTCGAATGCTCCCTTGAACTTTGTCCCTTGGTTGGTTAGGACCTCCCCGCATGCTTCGAAGCGCGTGAGCACCTGATCCGTGAAGGCTTCAGCTATCATTTCGGCGCTTTTGCTGCTGAGCGCTCGTACTTCTACCCACTTGGATACGTGTTCCATCATCACGAGTATGTAGCACTTGTCCTTGCATGTGAGAGGCAGTTCCCCTACTAGGTCCAATGACGAGCGCTACCCCAGTTCCCGTATCGGCAGGGACTGCAGCTCCTGCCGCCCCTTTTTCAGATGTGCCCGATTCTTGCACTGCTCCACCGTCTCCCGAACTTCTTTCTGCATCCCGGTCCACCACCATCCTGTCGCTAAGAGCTGCGCGGTACGCACGTGCCCGTAGTGTTCCAGCTGTGAATGCACCTTCTCGATTAACGCCTTTTGATGGTCAGGTGGAGGCACCAGCTTCCGGCCCTCCTTCGTCTCTATCTGCAGCTGATTCTGATACTAGCAATAGTGCTGTCCTCTGACTCGGACTCGCTCCGAGACTTCTCCCTCTTCCCCCACTTCTCCCTTCACCCACTGCAGCATCTTTGTGTCCTGCCAGAGGTCTTTTGGCCCTTTGCTGTATCCTCCTCTTCCTTCGGCCCCTTTGGCCACCGCCGCGAGCGCCGCCAGACATGCCGCTGGCGTGCTCTACTCCTCCTCTGTCGATGGTGGATTATGGGACAGACCATCCACGTATTGCAGAGCCTTCCTAGGATGGTGCTGAGTCTTGAAGTCAAATTCTTGCAGCTGTATCGCCCATCTGGCGTTCCTTCCTGTCAGCATCTAGTTGGTCATGAGCCAAGTCAACGGCTGGTGGTCCGTAATCAGAGTGAACGTCTTCCCTTGCAGATACACGCGGGAGTGATTCACTGCCCTCACCTTCATATGAGTTGTAGTTTGCTTCCGTAGGGCTGTAGCTCCTGCTTGCAAAGGCAACCACCCACTCCCCGCAGTCCGTCTGTTGGCCGAGGACCGCCCTTATTCCCAGGCTGCTCCAGTCAGTGTATAGCACGAAGGGTTGGTCCTTCCTGGGCAGCACTAGCACGGGCCCTGTTTTCACCAGCCATAGTAGGTCCCTCATGGCTTTCTCTTCCTCCCCTCCCTATTTCCACGCCTTGCTCTCTCTGAGCAGCTGATTCAGCGGTGCCCCACGCTTGCTGAAGTTTGGGACGAACCTACGGTAGTAATTGAGGAACTTAAGTATCGCCCTCAGACCGCTCCTGTCGCTGGGTGCCCCCACCTTATCTAGCACCGCCACATTTGCCTCTTGCACACTCAAGGTGCCCTCCGAGACTTCAAAACCCAGGTACTTTACGGTCTTCTCCCACCGCCTTGGTGATCTTGTTGAGATCTTGATAGTCCCCACACATGTGCCTTAACAACACTTCTCTTGATGCGTCCTTTTCGGCCGCCACCACCGTCGTCGCGGCATACTCCGAGGTTGATCTCCATATCCGCCTTGCTTTTAGCAGTTCCTTGCATTTCTTCTTACAGACTTCTTCGTCGGCCAGAGACATCCACCGTCTCTTCTGAAAGGTCGGTACATTACTGGTCAGCTCAATCCTCAGCTCTCCCACCTTGTGTCAAACTTATATATGCTATAGTCTGTTTAGGCTGTAGTGGGGTAGTCCTTAGAGGGTACAACACTTTTGTGTTGTCTACTTGTACCCCACCTGTTTCCTAGTTCATCATTCATTCCTCGATTCTCACATGGTATAGAGCTAGTTCGATTTTTTTTCCTTACTTGCCCGACGCGCGCGTCGCGCCTGCCCTTCGAGGCCCCTTCGCGGCCCGTAGCGGCCCCTTCACGACCCGTAGAGGCCCCTTTGCGGCCCGTAGCGGCCCCTTCGCGGCCCGTAGCGGCCCCTTCACGGCCCGTAGCGGCCCCTTCGCGGCCCGTAGCGGCCCCTTCACGGCCCGTAGCGGCCCCTTCACGGCCCGTAGCGGCCCCTTTGTGGCCCGTAGCGGCCCCTTTGCGGCCCGTCGCGGCCCCTTCGCGGCCCGTAGCGGCCCCTTTACGGCCCGTCGC